CGCTATAACGACTTTTTTTTTTTATTTGAATATATTATTGTTCATTTTTAGATCACATTTTAATAATATTTAACATTAATAATACTTTATAATACAATTATAAAATAATAATAATAAAAATAATATGTTGTTTTATATAATAATTATATTTTTAGTTTTATGTAGTGCGTTACAACGTAACATAGTTTTAATATTATTTTATGACTATATTATAAAATATTAAGTAATGTTAATTTTGATTTAAAATTGAACAATGTATCTAAATAAAAAATAAATAAAAAAAAAAAAAATTATGTACAGATATACAGAATTTTATTATTTTTTTTATTTGGATATTTTGTCCTATACTTTGGTTATTTTATCCCTGAATATTTTATCCGTTGGATATTTTAACCTTGGATGTTTTGACTTGGATATTTTAGTACAGGATATTTTGTTCTAGATACATTTATAGGAGGCCCAAATGTTCTTTCATCTCTTCGTCGACTACTTTTAGTGGAAAGACTTTATGAGTAGGGCTTTAAGGGCGGTAGGATATTTTCTCAAGTCCGTAAACATTTACAGATGTAGCCGGATTTGTTTTTGTCGAATATTTATTAAACATAGTTTACGACTAAAGCTGTATTTTTTGATTTCCCGATTATCACCATACAATAATAGACTTTTATTTTGATCGGTGGGACTCGAGGTGACTGCAAGGGAACGAAAATAGCCATTAAGTTATTTCAGTGGCGTACCCAGGATTTTTTAATGGGGGGAGCCAATACCTTGACAAGTGATACCTTGACAACCTAGTTTCACTAAAAAGTCTTATTTTAAGTAATTGTAATATTTTATTATTATATAATTTTAAAAACACAAACATATATTACTAACATTAGCAATAGGAGCTGCTTTATAATATAAATGTGATTCGTTATATTACTTAAATTATAAATTAAAATTTTTTTATAATTTCAAAATATATTTATTTTTGGTTCTTTATTATTTTATCCAGTAATCTAATTGCATTCTTCTGGGTTCCCTTTTTAAAAATGATTGTATTATTTCGATCTCACTTATTTGTTCTTTTTTGTTAATATTGACCAAAACTAATTCATTAATGTTGACTGCAGAACAATGAAATAAATGAAAGCAAAATATGTAAAGGTAAATTTCCAATCGATAATTCTAAAAAATGTACTTTCTGTGATAATAGAAATATTACATTGTTTTATACATATGTTCAGATACAATAACAAAAAAAAAAAACAAGTGTATCAAATTCTCGTGATGTAAAAGATATGGTAGAAGAAACTATTTCGACTGAAAGTTGAAATAAGTCAACCAATAAAATGAGAATAAAATCTAACCCTAAGCCCAAATTTTCATCAAAGATTGTTACAAAATATAAAACTTAAATTTTTATCTATTTTAAAAAATGGTTCTCCACGCTTTCATTCTGGGGAATTGAAAAGTTATATAGTTAGGAACTTTAGACAAGTTATACTGTGTAATACCTATGCATTTGATACAGTTGCATCAATGTTAATGGTAGGATATTGCGATAGCATCAACTATAGTACTGCGATTGATGGTAAAGAAAACGTTTTACTGAAGTTCATTGCTGAAATAGTTAAAAATGGAATTTTGGCCAAAGTATATTCGACTCGAGCAAAAATACTAGTAACAATATTCATAATATACACTAAATAAAGCTATGGAACTAATTTTAAATAAAGTATCTATATTATCTAAAATTAATCAGGTCTTAGTAACTGAAAATATAAATGTTGTTAAATTTTCCAACAAATAATTTACAAACTTTTATTGATTTTTGCAAAATTTTAATTTAAACACTTTTTTAGAAATTGTTGTGATATTAGGCGTTATTCTATAAATAGAAAAACAATATGCAAGAAACTTTATTTTATTATATTTATAAATTATACAATTTGTGTTAATAAATGTAATTATATTATGTGAAATTGTTATATCAAACATATTATAATTTTTAATATATTGTTTAATATTAACATCATTATGACTTCGAAAATGATGTAGTAGAATAACCTTTGATATTATACATCAACTAATTAAACTAATATTTTTGTTGACCGATAAAGGATTTACAGACTAATTTGGAGTATTCAGATTATAATACGACATTGGTATCATGTGAAACTACAGTAGAATATATTCTTAAAGCATTGTCAATATAATTACTGACAATAATGGATAATTTATAATACTCAATTCCCACGTGTACGAATACTATACCTTTGCCTTTGTCGTACATAACAGTAATTGTTATAAATGGAAATTTAAATTTATTGGAAAAAGATATTAAAGCAAGATTAATGATTGAAACTTCCAAGTGTCAATATATAAATCAAAAAGGATAAAATTGCAAAGGAATAAAATCAATTCAATCTAGAGTTTCAGCGATACATTTTTTTATTGAATTACTCAATTGAAAAGTTATTTTATAATCACTATAACATTTTTATATCATATAGTTATTTATATAAATGTTATTAAATAACATTTCAGAAATAGCAACTGACCAAAATGTCAGTTCTGAAGTGACACAAGAAGTTTCAATAAGTTTAGTAAGTGTACCTCCAATCGTTAAAAGTAATAATATCCATTATCAACTAAGAAGAATATGTTCACACACGCATGGACTAAGTGGACAAAGAAACAATTTAGAACATTACCGAATTTACTGCAAAAGGAATTGTGGAAATAACTGGGAATCGTATGACGACCAACGAATTAAATCCATCTCAATAAATTCCAAAATTAAAGTATCATATGAAATAATATTACACTCAATTTAAATAAACTAAATAATTTTAAAAATATTATTATGTTTATTAATAAATGCCTCTTTTGAATGTCGTAGTCAAGGGCGCCCATATGAGGGGGCAAGGGAGGGACATGTCCCCCCCTGGAAAATGTCAAAAATCTTGAAAAATTGTTAACTATGATCAGAATCTATTTATTTAAATATAATTTAAAAATTTAATTTAATATAGTATGAATGTTTGTAATCTGTTGATGAAAAATCGGTTTATTTAGTTTGGCAAATCAGGTTATCAGCTATAAATAACAACAGGCTTTTTCCTTTCTATTCTATGGATAATTATCAATTCTTAAAATATTGTGTATTTCCAGAAATACGGTATGTATATGTGTGTGTACACAACCATAATATTTATATAATATTTGTAAATTAATATTTTAATAAATATAAGTAATGTTTTAAATGTCCAATTTATATTATTAATTAAATAAAAATTTCAATAAATTACTTTTATAGTAAATTGGTTAAATAATTATTATTATTTTATAGTCTTCCAGTTTGATATATATAATGTAAAATTGTAAACCTCTTCCTATATCGTAGGTCATTCCTATTTATGAATAAATTGATAAATTAAAATGTTGTCCCCCCCTTGAAAATTTTTCTATGGGCGCTCTTGGTCGTAGTACTAAATAATACCTATAACTGTTCATTTTTAATTAATGGTCAAATATAATAAATTATTCTGAAAACTGCCTCTATATTATATTATAATTAATTAATTATATTATATTATTATTATAGAATTCGATTTTAAATTGTCAAAGGTTATTTAGAAATCGTCATAGCTACGAAAATATAGTACACAACTCTAATATTTAATTGGAAATCTATATTTACTTCATGGTTTTAAATAGTTATAGTATTTTTTTTCTAAATGTTTTCAAAAAATTGTTATACCAAGTATTTTTTTTGGAAATAATTATAAGCTTGCAAAAGAACTGTCATCAAAAAATATTCCTAATTTTTAATAATATCGTTGATAAAATAATTTTTATGATTACTTAAATTATTTTATGATATTAAATTCATTTAAAAAAAAAAAGGTTAGGAAATAACTTGTACTTAAAGGATAATATATTGTTATTGTGTTGGAATAATATAAATAATTTGACATCTATTGCAATGATGTATGTCGAAATTGATAAAATTATTGTCACTGTTAGATTGATTCATTTCAAGGTGGATATATATCTGTATAAATTGTGTTCAAAAAGAATTCTAACTATTCCAGCATCCAAACTGTGCTGCAACTAAAAATGGGACTGGGGGTGATCAGCACTGTCTAGGGGCCTCAACTTAGAAAAATTGAGGACTCAAAATGCATAGAATTTATCATACTGTATACATTTGAGAGAATATCAAGACCAGTGGCACAGTAATTATTTTTCATTATTTTCCAAATTAAAGTTTTGTCTCCCTCATATCCGAGAGGTCAATTTCCCCCGCCCCTTTATCTGATGACACTGCAAAGACATAAGGTAAATTGAAAAATAACAAATATTCTAATTTACTGTAAATATTAATAGAGCTAATAACGTCAGAGTTTAAATTGTTTATCATATTTATAGATTTTATATTATATTTAGTGATAACAAACACAGGATGATAATGAAACTATCGTTAATTTCAGCCATGATCACTGCTCCGAAAAACTAACTCACGTTGCTGTTGCGATTCTCTCGTTAAAATAGTAATATCATTATCAGATGTTACAAAAAAAAAATAGCAGTTTACCATCACTACGGTGTTTTCTGTGTTTAAGAATATCGAAATAGTCGTGATTAGGCAATTGCCATTGATGTTGGAAATAATATACCACGGTATCTATCGAATATACCACGGTGCATACTGAAAATACCACAGCTAGGTAATTACCATGAATAACAATTGTGTTATTGATTAGAATTCATATGCAAGTATAATTAAAAATGCATCAACATTTTTTTTTAAATAAGCGAAAGAATATTTTTCTGACGCCTAATTGAACGAATTCAGTTTTGAAACGATTTGTACTATTCATCTGGTGGACTAATAATTATTACGTTCTACACTGAACTATCAATGCCAATCAGAATATGATCAAAACATTGCCATTTTTCGGTGCCTTTCACGTGGTTGGTCACACTGTACTCGTCTCCTCTATCTCGCAGTTATCATGGTTTTCCGAAATCCCGTCGTGCGAGCGTGCTACCTGCAAATATTTCAACTTAATGTTCGATACCCACCGTCGTAACTAAATGGTTAAAGTATTTTTCTAATTACTTCGATACTGTAAGAAATTCGTTTCCTGAATCTTTCAAATTGAAGATTGCCCTAATGCCGATGTCATGCGCTCGTTATTCAACTAGTTTCAGGATAGTATAAAAGGTTAGTATTTTGTTTCTATTGCCCAACTAATAAACGATGGTGACAGTCGTGTTACCATTCGACGTCGTTTTATCGTCCATTATCACCTTGATTAAGTCTTTCTCAATATTCAATGTATTTTTGCCTCCTGCGTAACAGGCGGTTTTTCGCACGACATTGTACGAGCACCGAGCTGCGATTGTTTTCGATCGCTTTCCTGTTGTGTTCACAGCAGTGTTAATTTTGGACCCAGACGTTACACGAACCGACTTCAAGACGGCTGCCATGACGAATTTGAATGGGGTCGTGACGCCGCCGTCAACGCCGTCACCGAATCTACTGCAGATGAATATGGCCAGGGAGAGGGAGAAGTATTTGGAAGAGTACAATTTTCCATTTTGTGAAGCTGCCACTAAGTTTGAAAAACTGGCAAAGATCGGTCAAGGCACCTTTGGGTACGTTATATTTTTATTATCCGATTGTTGTTGCAATGTTATCATTTGTTTATAAAAGCATATGCTATGACCTTAGTTTTGCGGACATTTAACATGATAAACGATTCCTTAATTTCGTTATCATAGTTGTTATTTTTTCTAGAAACATGGTTTTTTTAACCGATAAACTGATAACCGATACTTACTTATCTATTGATTGAAAAGTTTAATATTTACATTTTATCATACATTATATACGTATTTGTAAATACTCTTATTTTTGATTTTATACTAGCTTCATTGAAAACTCCAAGTTTGTCTTATGTTGTTTCATATATTTTTACTTAATATTTGAAATAGAGTTGATTTTATGACATACCTATATTGATAAAACTGATTTTAATTAATATGTAATACTATGAAATTAACCGCTACTTAATTTATTTATTATTGTAAAATTATTAACCAAATCAAGTATTTAAATGTAAAGAAGTTTGTTTTTTAATATTTTAGTGAAGTGTTCAAAGCACGAGATAAAAAAAATCATAAAAAACTGGTTGCTATGAAAAAAATTCTAATGGAAAATGAAAAAGAAGGAGTAAGTTAATATTTACAATATTTGAATAAAAATAATAATTTAAAGTATTCAATATTAATTATTTGTTACCCAATGAAGGCACTATAGTCACAATTAAAATTAATGATTCATTTAGTTTTAATTGCTTATTATATAATTAATATACTACGGACTTTTTTAATAACTAAATTATTTAACCAATATTATTTCTATATTTTGACTGAATAACTTCTGATTCTTATTAATATCTTAGTTTTTTTTATCTAAGACTGAATTCATATATAAATAAACAAATTATGAAAATTATATTTTAATCATAAATATTATTAGAAAATTCAATCTGTTTTTAAAGAATTGAAATACTCATACGATAATAAATTTGTTGATTACACCTAGATAAGATTTATAAATTAATCAACGTTTAGTAGAACTGATGATTTTATAATATATAATAAATTTAATAGTATTACTTGACTAAGTACGAGAATAATTTTCAATTGGTTTTAAATCAGTTAGCATTAATATAAACATAAACTTTCACTAGATAGTAATAAATTTATTTCTTTTTATTGGTTAATAGAAATAATTACAAATGTATTTCTGTAATAGTATTGATATATTTATATATGTATATATTTATACAATTTCACATTTATTTTTCTTTGAACATAATGTTTAATTATAATAATTAATGCAATGCAATTATAATTAATAAAAATATGCCTTAATTTACAACATTTTTACTATTGAAAATGCATTTCCTGGATGTAACTTATATAAAAACAATTAACTCTTTCAACTGCTTAGTTTATATAATACCATTTTGAATATTAATGTTTTAATAATTTATTAATAATGTAATTTTTGATTTCAGTTTCCGATCACTGCATTAAGAGAAATCCGAATATTACAATTGTTAAAACATGATAATGTAGTAAATCTATTAGAAATATGTCAAACTAGAGGTAATTATAATTTAATCATAACTAAAAATTTCCTATGATTAATTTTTTTACAAATCTTATGTAGCTAATCAGTTTAACCGTTATCGATCTACATTTTATTTGGTATTTGAATTTTGTGAACATGATCTTGCTGGTCTATTATCAAATACTAAAGTGAAATTCAGTTTAGGAGAAATTAAACAAGTAATCCAACAAATGCTTAATGGTCTCTACTACATACATAGCAACAAAGTAAATTTACTAAAAAATAAATGTATTGCTTACTATGTAAGTTGATGATTGAAACCCACTATGTATGTATCAGATATTACATCGTGACATGAAAGCTGCAAATGTTTTAATTACAAAGTCTGGAACACTAAAATTAGCTGATTTTGGTCTTGCCCGAGCGTTCAGTGCCCAGAAAAATGGTCAGCCAAATAGGTAAAATCAAATATAGTTAATTATTCTAAGTATTACATTTTTTTGTAAAATAGTACTGTAAAAAAGTGTATTCATGTGTATTAATTTGTATTATTTATAGGTACACAAATCGAGTGGTAACATTATGGTATCGTCCTCCTGAGTTGCTGCTTGGTGACCGTAACTATGGTCCACCTGTGGATCTATGGGGAGCTGGCTGTATCATGGCCGAAATGTGGACTCGTAGTCCAATTATGCAGGGTAATTCAGAACAACAACAGTTGACATTGATATCCCAGTTGTGTGGATCAATAACTCCAGAAGTATGGCCCAAAGTAGAATCATTAGACCTTTACAATCAATTGGAATTGGTCAAAGGACAAAAACGAAAGGTTAATGTTTACATGTTATGATTCTTTCTTTCTCAGTGTTTAACCTGAAATTTAACTGTAGGTAAAAGAACGATTAAAGCCATATGTAAGAGATCCAATGGGATGTGATCTATTAGATAAATTATTGGTGTTAGACCCAGCCAAGAGATTTGATGCTGACTCAGCATTAAACCATGACTTTTTCTGGACTGATCCCATGCCATGTGATTTATCAAAAATGTTATCACAACAAACACAAAGTAATTTTGAATATTTGGCTCCACGCCGACTCAATAACCACCAATCATCTGCTATGCGACCAGCATCAGCTGTTGCCAGCCAAGGCTCATCTACATCTGCTACCTCAGGATTTCACGAACGTGTTTTCTAGCGCAAGTGAATGGCAGCTTATGCGGCCACTTATAACTAATTTTCAACTATTTATTTTTTTTTTACATTTTTATAATTCTTTCTTATTTTGGTTTAGATAAGATTTATATGTTTGTGTAAATAAATATTTACGTTTATAAAATAATTTTATATTGAACTTATATTATAATAACTATTAATTACTTAATGGAATAAGTAAAAATATATTTTTTTTTATTATTCGCGTTTATTTCCTGTCTAAAAACTTGTATGGTTTTTAAAATTAAAAATGTTTAAATTCAAGTAATTACTATACATAAAATGATTATGTATTTTATTTTAAATGTTTTAATCTTCTAATTAAAAACAGGAAAACCGATTTGTTAAATGTTACTGTTCAAATAAATTTGTATGTATTAATAACAATTTATAAATTAAGTTTTGATTTTGAATTACTATTCATTACTGGGAATAAATAATATGTTATATTTACCTTATGTTTACATAACTTTGATTTGTTTCCTGCTGTGAGGATTAATGAAAATAATTTCGTAAAAAAATTTAGATTGAAGAATACTTGTTTTAACAAAATGTAAATAATCTCCATATAATTATTAACTCACCAATCAATTTTGGTTGCAACACCACTGACGAAAATGTTTAGTGATAGAGGATATAAGTCTATATGGCATCTAACCTATGTACCAGATATTTAGTGTTTTACTATTTACTTGCATTGTTAAATTAGTATGGATTGCAATCAGGAATATGTAAAGATTAGTGATTGTCGAGTTTTCATTTTTGAACTAGAAACGTAGTCTAACTGAAAAGAAATATTGAAACACAAAAGTGAATAAACACATCTTGCTAGCTTCTTTATATATTGATATTCCCTATATTTTATATTTGTATATTGTTTTATATAATTGATTTTATATTTCTATACATTTTTAAATAGTTATTATTTTTACAAGTAGCTGATTTTGGTTGAGATACAGTCTCCCTTAGCTATTGCTATATCATTACTTCATTTGCTTGTTTATTATTATTTTTATTTAAAACTTAAAACTTCAACAGTAAAGGTTATTAGTCATTAATTGTTACATATTACATATGTTAGATGCGTGATAGTCAAATTGCACTTATTACCTACGGATAAATGGCCGATTTGGACTTGGATTTAAAAAAGGTGATGATTACTAAATGGTAATAAATGTAACTAAATAAAATAAATCTAATCCCTTCAAATGCATGATAATTTTATTGAAATACTTTTTTGAGTCCAGGTGCAGTTCGACTACTACCTGCTTTTTACCCGAGTGCAATTCGACCATTACCTTTTTTAAACCCAAGTGCAATTCAACTAAAATAAGTGTGATTCGACCATACCCGTTAGGTGTTAGGGTCAACATTTTAATTTTACTTATTATGTAAGTAAAGCTAGGCTTAAAATTATAATTTACTAATAATATTTGTGATGCTTAGGAATGGGATAATTTTCAGAGTTTGTCTCTCGTCAAGTGCTTCTACTGTGCTAGATAGCATGTTGAAGTCGGTGCGTACGGTTGAGGTATACTATGTTCAATAGTTACTGCTTTATAGAATATGTCGCATATTGGGTGAGGCTCTTTTCTAATTAAGTATGAGTAGGTACCTACATGACAAAGGAGCATTGCCGGATTAAACATTTGTGGGCCCCTAGGCAATTAAAATGTTGGGCCCTACAAAATTATTTTTTACGTACATCTTTAACATTACTATCCAATAATTTAAATAAACCGCTTTAAAAATAACCTACTATTATTAATAAATAAAATCTTGTTCATTAAATTTTTTTATTTGCGAGAAAAATTAATTAATCATATTATTTTTTTATTATTACTGCATATAACACCTACAACTTAATATATATTGATATTTCATAATAACTTTTGGCCAGTAAATTCGGAAATAAAATACCGGTATTATAAAATAAAAAAAAATATAGTTTTCTGTTTTCATAGGACCCCTTAAATGAGTGAGGCCCTAAGGCGGGCGCCTACTCCGCCTAATGGGTAATCCGGCACTGCAAAGGAGTATTCATTCCTATCTTCTACAAATATAGTACGGTTTCGGGTTTATTCGAAAATTATTTTATCTGATACGATATAACATACATAATATGTATGAATATGATTTCTTTAAATTTTAAACAGAAGAATTGTCACGACCCAATCTTTAAGCTTACGCGACCCACCGGTTAAAGACCACTGATCCAAACGACAATTGGACGCGATTCATATGGTTTTATGAAAATCAAAAAAAAAATCAAAAAGAACGGTTCGTAGGATTTAGGCGATAAATTTTTTATCCATCCGAGTAAACCGCAATTTGACCGCGTAACGTGCTGCTTTCCAGACCTTCAGCGCATATGGAACACGCGTTAGGTATATTAATTCGGGAACTCTTGAGTTGGGTCCCGAGATATTTGAGTGCTTAAAAAAAACACGAGTTGGGTCCGCGGTGTTAATTAATAATACTCGAATTGGGTCCATGGTCACATTTGATAATACATGAATTGGGTCCACGGTTGATTTTATCTGGTTGTTACCTTAATTACCCAACTCATGTTTTCCCAATGAAAAATGTGCGTCTTAAATTTCTTCCGTAATTTAATCTATATAATTATGAATAAACTACTAGTGATAAAAGTAAAAATAAATTAAAATTTTATCTAAAATCAAGCCAACTCAATCATTTTTCACACAAAAAAATTATAATTGACTAATAATTTTAATATTTTAATAATGTTAACATCAGACCGTTACCATTGTATAATATAAACCAAATTTTTTGGAAGACTTTCTAGCTAACCTCCACATGGTGTCTTCTGGGTATCGCTAATAGGCTGGACCCAACTCATGTAGTCGATAAAATATATAGAGACCCAACTCATGTACTCGATAAAATATTTGTGGGCCCAACTCATGTACTCAATAAAATACGTTCGGACCCAATTCATACTATTTTTGAAATTTAGGACCCAACTCGAGGTTATCCATCAATTCCATGGCGGCAGTGACGTAAATCGTCGAAATCATACCGACACGTGCGGACGACGTACAAGCAACACGTACAATAATAGTAAAAACAAACTACGATGATCGGCTGCACCTGGTGACCGTAGTAAGGTTGTTGGTTACTAGGTAACGTAGTGGGACGGAGTTAATATTCTAAAAACGTTCGTTTTGAGCATAACGTAATGGAATGATACAGAGGCGGACTGGCCACGGGAGTTAGGAAGATTAATCTCCCTGGGCCCCTCATAGATACTAATACTAAAAAAAAAAAAAGCCAATACAATCCAAATAATATTATAATATTAGGAAAATTACATTAACATAAATAATATGAAAATACGTAATTAATTCACTTCCAGCTTTATTATTGTTCGGAAATATAAAAATAAATAAGAAAATATGGTTTGTGTAGCTATTTTGGTCAACAGTATAGAATGCGATTTTAAAGTTTTATTATTATTAGAAATCATAAAACAACATGTTTCATAGTTTCATTGCCATTTGAACGATGTATTGGAAATTTGGAAATCGGTTAATCTAAATACAGAATAATTATTAGGGATGGAAATTCCAACTCATTCTGCCGAACTGAATCTTTCAACTCAATTCAGTGTAATGAGTTGAATCAAAGAGTCGACTCCCAACTCTTTGTTTGAATCAGATTAACACTACTTTAATCAACTCTTCAAATCTCGACTCTTGATTCGACTCACAAGTTCACAGTCTATATTCATGAATAGCTTATCGCATATGAAACTAATTATGACTATAAGCGTACAACGTTAAGAATTTTTTTTAGAAAGTCAGAAATCTTGTTTTAAGAAACAATGGAAATATTAATAACCAGGGCTTGGAAATTGTAGCACTAAAAATGTTATTTTTAAGCTCTTAATTATGCACTTAAAGCCAGGTACACACGTGCGTTATTTTGATGCGTGGCACCATTTGAACACCGACGTTTGAACTACGACAATTATGTCGATACACTACGCGAAGTGACTACTGATTGAATATGGAAGTGAAAAATTTTAAAATGGAAGTGTACAACCGAAAACGAGTAGTTTTTGCATATTTAGTTTATAAAAACTATTTGTCGAAGAAAAATAGGCATTAATGGGTACATCCCTTTACTGACTCAAGGCTTTTAAGGGGACATTTTTCAACGTCGTTCGAAGACTTAAGAAATAATCCAGACAAATTTTACATTTATTTTCGTATGAGTGTGAAGTCATTTGATGAACTGGCTGCAAGAATCATCGACAAAATTAAAAAAATGATATATGAGAAAAGCTATACCCCCAATTGAAATGCTAGTTGTAACTCTGAGGTGAGTGAATTTGAAACACATTGTACTTCATTTTATTTTAGATTCTGAGTAATGAGTTAATTAACTAATTAATTAATATTTAACTAGGTACTATTTTTTAACCCCTTATCCTACACAATAATTCAATGTTACAATTGTGTATTATAGTCATATATAATATTTGCAAATACAAATATTATTATTTCTTATAGGACATTGTACAATTTTAAGTTGGCCATTCACATTATAAACAATAAAACTGTTATTGCAGTAGGTAAAGAAAAAAAAATAATTTACATTAGATAATCAAAGTTAACATAAATTTAACATTAGTCCATAAAAATGTTACTTGTACAATTTGTGTAAAAATTTAACTTTGATTATTAAATAATATTAGGCACTCATCTTCAGTACCAACTTCAGCTTCGTTAACACTTGATGATGGAGTAAGTGGAAGTGACACGCTGTATTGCGATGCATTGTTGAAGACCACGTCCTGTGAAGGTGGAGAAAGCACATGGCTTTCGGTTGTCATATGTTTAGTCGAGCATGATTTACTCATTTGAGTTCCAGATTATTGTTGAATATTTGGTTGCTTTTGAGTTGAATATCCCGGAATGGAAGCAGTATTATAGTGCCAATTTTGAGTTCTTAAAATCTGTAACAGGTTTTCTGTGGTATACAAAGTGTGTGGTGGAATAAATTGATTGGTACTAGTAGGTTTGAAGGAAGTAATAGGCTGCGATGGAGGGTTATACAATTCATGTAATTGAGGATGG